ATGATAATAGTAGAATTTATCAACTCTGCACTTGTACTAAAGTATAAATGCACCACAATAGAACAACTAGGTACTGCACTTAGCTACGACATGGAACAATTAAACCATCTTGTTCCACTAACCCGTACATACCAAGTGACCGAGCATCGGCTCATGTTTACTTTCGTTTGCCAAGTGTTTCAATGTTTTTCTTGTTGCGAATCTTATTTCTTTTTATTTCTTACTGAGTTTAGAATTAGTTTTCTTAATTTATCACTTCCATTTTCCTCATGTTTTCCAATCACAGAATGTACTTGGAATTATTTATATATCTGGACTAGCATTCTATTATATACTTTTTGAAGGGAACAGGTAAATACACTACTGCACATGTGCAGAAGTGGCTGATGAGCTAATGGAAGTTTTGAAAAATTCACTTATAAACTCATTACAAAAGATCCCTTTCTTGCAACTAAACTTGTTCCAACCGTCTGCCACTCTGCAAAAGATTACTGGGATTGTGTGTTTACCATCTTACAGTAGCCAGTTAGTGATAACTAGGATAATTGTAGCCTTCCTATTTTACCTTTAGTATCTTGGTGGACAGGTATAGTGGTGAGGGTACTGCCATCTGCAGACAGATACAGATGTGGACAGGGTGGGTGGTGAAGTTGCTGCTGCCAGTTGAAGACGCATGTGCACAATTACAAAGTTGAATTATTTGAGTGTAATTACAGGATGAGCTTGTGGTTTCCTCTACTCACCTAATTGTGCTTGCGGGGGTTGAGCTCTGGCTCTTTGGTCCCGCCTCTCAACTGTCAATCAACTGATGTACAGATTCCTGAGCTTACTGGGCTCACTTGTCCTCCCATTCATATGATGCTTTGGTGTCCTGTCCTCCTGTCTTTGTCATATGATGCTTTGAAACTACTGACAGTTTTGGCATCCACCACCATTTCTTGTTCTAGCCATCTACCACTCTATTTGCAAAACAGAAGTTCCTAATATTTTTACTGCAACTTTGTTTCCTTAGCTTGAATCTATGAGCTCTTGGTCTTGAAGTTGCAGTTTCAAGAATTTCTTTTTATCAATTTTGTCGATTCCTGTTAGTATTTTCGATGTATTGATCATGTCTCCTCATTTTCCTATATCTTCTAACTTTGACATATTTAACACCTCTAGTCTCTCCTTATAGCTCTTGCTTTTCAGTTCCAAAAGGCATTTAGTAATATATCTTTGCACATTTTCCAGTTTAATGATGTGCATCTTGAGATATGCACCATACAACAGCTGCACATTCCAATTTTTGTCTCACAAAAGTAGTGAACAATTTCTTGAATATTTTACCATTCACATATTTAAAAGTGATTCTGAAGTTAGAAAGCGAAGCATTGGCTCTTTGCACAATGTTCTTTATGTGGTCCTCATGGGAAGGTTTACTGTGAGGAGGAAGCTAAGTTTTGACTCTGGTCAAACAGAACTCCCACATCTGATATGACCCATTTGCATGGAGTCATATATATATTCATACTCAGCGAGAAATCTTCTAGGAAACACCAGGCACTACCCCCAGAAATTCTTAGCGTATATGCTTGTTGTCTGTACAATATTTATGAAGATTATACCTTGGGGTCACTTATAGCCCAGTATTGAGTTACTGGTATATTTTTTTTTATATTATAGGTCTATAATGAAGACTCAAACATATTTGCTTATTATTTATTACTATAGCTGATTTTTTTTTTAATGATTTGTCATAATATACAGCAGTGATTCCCAACCGTTTACCATGGCGAAACCTCAAAAATGTTGAGGAATCCTCAGAGAAATAGGTTTATTACAATTACATTATTTTGTCATCAATATTTTTTTATATTTTTTTATTTATTTCTTGCTGAGCCCCCGAGAAAGGTTTGCATAACCCCAGTTGCAAAACACTTGTATATAAAAAGACTTGGTGTAAATTCCTTACATAAATTTCACATATATACAAGTGTGGGTTTTTATCCTATATTCTAAATTTATCCACAGGATATATATATATATATATATATATATATATATATATATATATATATATATATATATATATATATATATATATATATATATATATATATATATTTATTTATATATTCTTCTATATTCTTCTCTGAATACTTTTTATTTTCTTCTCCTAGGCTATGGGTCCCCACATTGGCACCAGAGGTGGTACCCTCACAAACTTTATATATAAATATATATATATTTATCCTGTGGAAACACACACACAGCCTGTAATTAATTTCTTCAAATCATATTTTGTTACAAAATGGAGACGCAAAACATTCAAAAACAAAAAGCGCTTTTAATAATAATGGTACCGATTGATATGTAATCAAATAAATGAAACGTAAATGATTTATCACCATTTTGACCCAAGATGGTGACCAGGTTCAAACTTGACATACCACAGCAGAAGGGTTAACACCAGACTATGCTGCTATTCAAAACATTGTTCTTTATTTGCAACACGCTGCTAGAGAGAGAAAAGTGTTCTCTACTTGCATCATCCTGATGGAACATTCTACTTTACCATGGTGCTAAAACAGTGTTTTCTACCTGAATTATGCTTCTCATGGTGCTAAGACAGTGTTTTCTACCTGCATTATGCTGCTAGTGAGAACAATGTTCTGTATCTGAATCATGCTTCTATTGAGAACTGTGTTCTTTTCTTGAATCGTGCTACTAGCAAAACCAATGTTCTCTATCTGAATCATGCTGACAGAACACTGTTCTCTGTCTGCACCATGCAGGTAGAGCAGTGTTCTCTGTCTGCACCATGCTGGTAGAGCAGTGTTCTCTGTCTGCACCATGCTGGTAGAGCAGTGTTCTCTGTCTGCACCATGCTGGTAGAGCAGTGTTCTCTGCCTGCACCATGCTGTAGAGCAGTGTTCTATGCCTGCACCATGCTGGTAGAGCAGTGTTCTCTGCCTGCACCATGCTGGTAGAGCAGTGTTCTCTGCCTGCACCATGCTGGTAGAGCAGTGTTCTCTGCCTGCACCATGCTGGTAGAGCAGTGTTCTCTGCCTGCACCATGCTGGTAGAGCAGTGTTCTCTGCCTGTACCATGCTGGTAGAGCAGTGTTCTCTGCCTGTACCATGCTGGTAGAGCAGTGTTCTCTGCCTGCACCATGCTGGTAGAGCAGTGTTCTCTGCCTGCACCATGCTGGTAGAGCAGTGTTCTCTGCCTGTACCATGCTGGTAGAGCAGTGTTCTCTGCCTGTACCATGCTGGTAGAGCAGTGTTCTCTGCCTGTACCATGCTGGTAGAGCAGTGTTCTCTGCCTGTACCATGCTGGTAGAGCAGTGTTCTCTGCCTGCACCATGCTGAGAACAGAACATGCTGGTAGAGCAGTGTTCTCTGCCTGCGCCATGCTGGTAGAGCAGTGTTCTCTGCCTGCACCATGCTGGTAGAGCAATGTTCTCTACCTGCACTATGCTGATGGAACAGTGTTCTCTACCTGCACTATGCTGATGGAACAGTGTTCTCTACCTGCACTATGCTGATGGAACAGTGTTCTCTACCTGCACCATGCTGATGGAACAGTGTTCTCTACCTGCACCATGCTGATGGACCAGTGATCTCTACCTTCATTATACTGATGAAACTGTTCTCTACCTGCACTATGCTGATGGACCAGTGATCTCTACCTTCATTATACTGATGAAACTGTTCTCTACCTGCACTATGCTGATGGAACAGTGTTCTCTACCTGCACCATGCTGATGGAACAGTGTTCTCTACCTGCACCATGCTGATGGAACAATGTTCTCTACCTGCACCATGCTGATGGAACAGTGTTCTCTACCTGCACCATGCTGATGGAACAATGTTCTCTACCTGCACCATGCCGATAAAATAGTGTTTCTACCTGCGCCGCACTGCTTTGGTGAACCATGTTCTTTATCATGATGCTAGTAAGAACAGTGATCTATCCTTGATTCACAACTGGAATGCCATAGTTGTTTAAAATAGCATCATTGAATGCTTGCATTTTATATATATATATATATATATATATATATATATATATATATATATATATATATATATATATATATATATATATATATATATATATATATATATATATATACACCGTGCAAGGCCCAATTTGCCTAATAGGCCAAGTTTTCCTGAATTTATATATATATTTTTAAATTTTTTCTTACAAAATTATAAAGCTATCCATTTCACTATGTATGAGTTCATTTTTTTTAAATTTGATTCAAAACTAACGTAGATATATGACCGAACCTAACCTAACATAACGAAGTCAATAATTTATGTTCCTAATATAATATAATAATAATAATTCAAATAACCCAATTGGAAACAATTTGTTGAAAAAAAAGAAAATCACTCAGCCTATTAGGCAAATCGGGCCTTGCATAGTACGCCAAGAAGTGCATTCTGGCTACTAGGTGTAACATATATATATATACACATACATATATATGAACACATTCTCTGTCTGTTCTTCGATTGGCTTCTTCAACATTTGGCTGAATCTACCTTCATCAGTGTGGGCTACACTTGCTAGTTAGGTGCATTCAGGTAAAATGAGAGAGATTTGAGATAAGGCAGTGCAGCGTATGTCTAGAGAAGCAAATGCAGTGAACTCTGTGTGATAACGTCATGTGTATATTTTTTGACATATCTCCATGTAAGTCTGTGTAATAAGTCCCACCTTTCAGTCAGTATTTCGCAATTATGAACAGTAGTTCTTTTGGAATAATTGTTCAAATTTAAATATTTTATTTGGGTATGGTAATAAATTTCTAGGTTAAACTAATCTGGCTCATATCCACCAGCAGCAGGAAGGAAATGGGAAGATAATTGGCTGTTATTGGGTGAAGTTTGGAAGCATTAAGTATAATTAGTTTAAAGGGAAGACTTTGTTGCACACTTACACTGGCTTAGAATGTAAGCAATATTGGTGTCATCTTCAACATCGTAATGAAAGTCACATGCTTTCAGACGACACTTATCTACGACCAGACACAAAGCCGCCAAAATTAGGAAGGGGTAGAGGTATGGTAGAAAACAACAGATTTTTGCGTTTTTCTCTCCTTTTTTTTATAACAAAGCTTTTTTCATTTTTGCAAGAATATACCTTCTGGCACGAAACACATTTTCTACTTTAATCTATTGAATCTAAAATGAATGTTTAATCCCTATGTAAATAATTTCTGTCGACTTTTCTACTTGAATCTAAATCCTGCTGTAATACTTGGGATAACTTTTAACTGCTCTAATTCACATAAAAAGTGAAAATTACCACGAATTTGGAGAGCTAGTGCATGCCCCATATATTTCATATCAAACTGTGAAACCTGTAATGTAAGAGTATTTTGGTATCATAGTCAAGTAAAATAGATATTTTTGAGCGTACTTGATTTGTACAATCGCCATCCTATTTTTTTACTATTTTTTTTTACTTTGTATAATGTGTATTTATGTAATGATATGTGTAAGATCCGTTGTAATGTACATATTACACGTATAACCGCATGGACAACAAGGTGAATTCAGTACTTGGCGATTATGATGATAGCGTTCTCCTCTTTCAGAAAAGTCAGTCTCGTTTGAAAAATCCGTGTCATTCAGTGACGATCTTCCAGATTTGAGTACGCCGCCTAAACAACATGTTCCTGCAGGTAATAGTTTCCCCAATTCAGCCCTTCATGCGTCTCCGTTTTTATTCTCTTGATGTTATTCCAGTTTTTCCGGATTTTATTAATGCTAATGGAAGGACTATGCGCGTGTTGTTTACAGTGAAAGAATTATGCATTGTTTTGTATTTTGTGATTATTTATTTATACTTTTCCATGGCATTTGGTGTTACATCTGTGTTTGTCCTGAAATCATTACAAAAGTAGTTGAATTAAGCTTGGAGTGCCTTATCTTTTTGTGTTGAAGCATGGAGAATGAACAGGGATTTGTGTGGTTTTACTTCAATAATGTATTGTTTTATTATATTTTTTTATAATAGCAGTAACAGTCCTAGCAATTCACATAGAACTGTATAGGAAAGTATTTGATTAATTCTAACAATACTGCTTGTTTTCTATATGCTTATTTTACCCATTTTCTTTGACTAATCTGTTTTCTATGACTGTAGCTGAGAAACAGCCTATCAAGCCGGCCATCAAGTGCTCAACTCTCCCACGGATGTCTTCCCAAGGTGAGTTTTGTGTGTGTTTATTTTGCCCATAAAATTGCTAACCTATAAAACCTCAATTTAATCTACATTACGTACATCAAGTGACGTCCATTACTGTAAATATAATTGTGCTGAATTGCATGTTTCAATAAATTTATTTTATTTATAAAGAGGCATGTTGCACAATTGCAGTAATTATTCATTTTGCATTTGTAATTGCTCGTTTAAACAATTTGAATATCTGCAATGTATTAGAGATGAAATACATTTAAATATTGCAAATGGAATCTATTGCTGATAAACTAAACAAAAACTGTATACTGGATATACTGTAAGTTGATCAATAATAACCTAAAACAATGTTTTATATTAGTAAATAACTTTGGAACTAACTTGTAAAATGGGGAACGTATCTTGCATGATTCATGGATGAAAATTGTTTTCTCATGATGGAAAACAGAATCATCTGATGACAAAGTACTGTAAGTACAGTGCTGTACTTGAAAATGTTGGATGCATTTATTATAGCTGTTGAAATTGATTGGTATGAAATCATCTGAAAATGCTTTTGACTTCTTTATAATTTGTCCATATATAAACATATTATAATATAAAGAAACAGTAAAATAAAATTTTCCCGATATTTTACATAGCTTAGAATTTCTGTTTTCTAAACTGCGAAGACACATTTTCAATTATTCGGCACTAAACACTTTTACTGAGTCCTACAAGAGAATTGATATATGTATAGATACAAAAATAACTAACACTAGCTTAAACTAGGATGGATGCTCTTACAAGTGCATGAAGTAATTTGTCAATATAATGAAGCCATAATACTGTACACTGAAAATATGAGAGCATGTAAATCTAGTTTTCCACTGTTTTTTTTTTTTTATTATTATATTATTCCTAAGCTTTCTGTCTTGTTATGTAATATCTAAACAGTTTATTATGTTTATTTTTTTTATTTTCCTGCCCTGTGTTTGTGAAGTCCCCCCTGTACACGCCTGGCTCTCCCCTCCAGTGCGCAGGCGATCAGCCACACATTCCGTGACATCAGTGCCAGGTGTGATGTCAAATTTATTTGTGTTCTTAGGTTTAGACTTACATTTATAGTCTTTATTTTTACTGTTATATTTCTTGTGTTTGAGTTTGTTAAATCTTAATTATAAAAGGAAGACAACATTTAATGAGTCACCGACATTACGTTAACTGAAACTCATTCACAACATCTTAAGCCTGAGGTGGCTTTTCCTAAAATATATAATTTATGAATATATAATATTTTGCAGTTATTTTTCATACTTACAAATTGACATTATTGCAGGTAGTCAACTATTAATTCAGTTTTTGTAGTAGGAAAAGGTTCATCTCGAAGGGTGCTGTACCTACTGCCAGTGGCTAATGGCCATAGAATATTCAAAACTCAATTTGTGACACTAACTAGCATTGAGATTATTATTTTTATTTTTAATTAATTTATTTCAGAATTGAGATTATATAACAGAAGTTTCACAGTATAAATCTGTAACAAGAGACAATACCATTAAAAAATTAATCTGGTAACCACTTGGTATTGTTCCTATAGAGGATTTATTTTAATTAGAAGTCACTTAAGATACATTCTGTGATAACTTCCAAAATACCAGTGCCACGTAAAGCACAGACACAAGTAACTAATCAAAAGCAGTCTAAGGTTCTACAAGCTCAGCAGTGTACTTGACGTAGTTATTAGGGTGCTTTTATGTACAACTAAAACCAAACTGTGAGCGAACATAGTGGTCCACAGTTGCTGGACCACTATGATATGACATTAGATGCCATGGAAGGCAAACAAAATGCTGATGTAATTTACACAGATTTTGCAAAAGCCTTCAACAAATGTGACCATGGTGTTATTGTACATAAAATGCGTTCAAAAGGAATTACCGGAAAAGTAGGCAGGTAGATCTACAATTTCCTGACTAACAGAACCCAATGTGTAATAGTCAACAAAATAAAATCCGGTCCATCAACCATGAAGAGTTCAGTTCCCCACAGTACTGTGCTTGCTCCAGTACTTTTTCTCATCCTCATATCGGACATAGACAAGAACACAATCTATAGTACTGTATCTTCCTTTGCAGATGACACTAGGATTTTTAAGAGAATAGACAACATAGAGGATACAGCAAACCTCCAATCAGTTGTGAATCAGGTCTTTCTATGGCCTACAGAAAATTATATAATGTTTAACGAAGATAAGTTCCAGCTCCTACGCTACGGAAAAAATTAAAATATAAAAACGGAAACCATGTACAAAACTTAGTCAAATCATAACATAGAACAAAAAGGCAATGTAAAGGATTTAGGTGTACTCATGTTGGAAGACCTTACCTTTCAAGAACACATTAAAATAGCCATCACAACTGTAAAAAAATGACAGGTTGGATAACAAGAACCTTTCACACTAGAGATGCTATACCGATGATGATACTTTTCAAGATGCTAGTGCTCTCTAGAGTAGAATACTGTTGCACAATGACAGCCCCTTTCAAAGCTGGAAAAATTGCTGATCTGGAGAGCGTGCAGAGATCCTTTACTTCTAGAATCCACTCTGTAAAATATCTAAACTATTGGGACCGACTAAAGAGCCTAAATCTGAATTCTTTTGAGTGCAGGCGAGAGAGATACATAATAATTTACACATGGAAAATAGTAGAGGGGCTGGTCCCAAACCTGCACACAGAAATAACATCACATGAAACCAGAAAGCATGGCAGGATGTGCAGAATACCCCCATTGAAAAGCAGAGGTGCAACAGGTACTCTGAGAGAGAACTCTATCAATATCAGAGGCCCGAGACTGTTCAACGCGCTTCCACTACACATAAGGGGCATAACTGGCTGACCCCTCACAGAGTTCAAGAAAGAACTTGACAAACACCTCCAAAGGTTACCTAATCAACCAGGCTGTGACTCATACGTCAGGCTGCGAGCAGCCGCGTCTAACAGTCTGGTTGACCAGTCCAGCAACGAGGAGGCCTGGTCGACGACCGGGCCATGGGGTCGCTGAGCCCCGAAATCATCTCAAGGTAACCTCAAAGTAAGGTAACCATGTCTGATTTTTTGGGGGTTGAACAGAGCACAAAGTACTGACAACAGTGAAGAAAAATAGCAAGTTGAAAAGAGACTTCACTGAAGATGATGATTTACATGCCTATTAGCAGTTCATAAAAAATTCTAAAAGATACACAGGGCTTGCTGCTTAAAAACAAAAAAGAAGGCAAGATAAAGGTTAAGGCCACACATGTGAGGGTACACGTATTGCACAGTTGGCTTTCTAGTAACAATTTAGTAAGTGGCAATGCAGTGCAGAAATGTTTAAACAGAATCAAGGTAATTAAAGTACTGTACCGTACTGTACTACTGTACTAGTATTGCCAACAAAATATAAATTGAGAAGTAGGGCCTGCTTACATTTATTCTCCTCCTTCCACTTTCACCTCGCCTCCATTTTCTTTTATATGCACTAGCCTAAAGTATCCATTAGATTTGATAAACGTCCTTACAAGTGAAAGGTTCTCTTCATTGATGTTTGCTCTCATCTTTTGGTTACTGTTCATGAATTTGTTTACCATTGTCCCTTAAGGCTAATCATTATTGACATAAATGGAAAAGACTGCATAAGATGCCCAGATTTATATTTATTTTCAAAGTGCACATATTTATGCAAATGACCTGTGAATATAGTACTGTACTGTAATCATGCAATGTACAGTACTTATATTAAATCCATTTATTTACAAATTTGAAGAGTTCATGCAAAATAGCTGACCTAATTTTTAATTAGTTCTCTGTTTTATTTATGACAATGGAAGATACTTGAAAAGTATCCATATACCAGTACATCCATATGTATCAAAAGTATTCATATACAGTATATGAACAGTATTTTATGTTGTAAAAATAATGAAATATTTTTCATAGCAAGGGAGTTGGGAAACAAAGAAGAAATATATATTAAATGAGATGTTTGGGCATTTGTGGAATAAACATAAGCAGGGATCAGGAATACCTGACCAACCAGGCTGTGACTCATACGTCAGGCTGCGAGCAGCCGCGTCCAACAGCCTGGTTGACCAGTCCAGCAACCAGGAGACCTGGTCGGGCCTGGACCGGGCCGTGGGGACGTTGAGCCCTGAGGTCATCGCAAGGTAACCGCAAGGGAGTGAAAGAATTCACACCATATGTAAATCAAACAAAACTGGATTGGTTCAGACCAAAGATTGGTTCAAACAAATTAAAGAATAAACAAGGTAGCAGTACAGATGACACTTCAGTGAACAACCCAACCAGAATTTAAAAAAAAGTAATTACTATATAGCATTATGTAGGGGTAAAAAAAATTAATAGGGAATTGCATTTGAGTTAGAAAAAATCCAATCTCTTTAATTTTGACAATGAATAACTTTAAAGTGATAGACACATCATACAAATAATACTGTAATTCATTTTGACCAGGACAGGTTGCCTGTGTATATATGTACATTAAGCTTGTATTGAGGTTCCCCCAAGGTCAAACTACTGACCCTCCCCAGGATGCAACCCCACAACAAGGTGATTAACTCTCGTGTACCTATTTACTGCTAGGTGAATAGCGGCATTAGATGATAAGGAATGTGCCTGACCATTTCTGTCCTGCCTAGGATTTGAACCTGGGATTCCTGATTGTGAGCCAAGAATAATTATCCTGAAATAATTATCCTGAAACAATTATCCTGAAATAATTATCTGAAATAAAATACAAGATATGGGAAAAGATTTAAAAATAAATTCCAATCACTATTTGTAAGTAAAAACAGGTTCCCATGATGGACAAAGTACAGTAATGCTAGAAAGGCATAAAGCATTGGGTCCCTATGAAATATTTTACAGTGTCTTGAGAGACCATACTGACGAACTCTGCGAATGATTATCAACAATTTAGAAAACTAACATTTATGAGATAGAAAAAAGTTTTGAACTACAGGGTGGTCT